GAATGGGGCCAAAATACCAGCAACAGTGTGAAAACCTTGTGAAGACTTACAGAAAACGTTTGAGCTCTGTCATTGCCAACAAAGGGTATATACGCAAAGTATTGAGATGAACTTTTGTTATTGACCAAATACTTATTTTCCACCATCATTTGAAAATAAATTCTTTAAAAATCAGACAATGTGATTTTCTGGATTTTTTTTTCTCATTTTGTCTCTCATAGTTGAGGTATACCTTGGATGAAAATTACAGGCCTCTCTCATCTTTTTAAGTAGGAGAACTTGCACAATTGGTGGCTGACTAAATACTTTTTTGCCCCACTGTATATATTGGCCTACTGGTGTCACAAGTAGAAGTTAAGGAATCACTAAAGTAATTAAGAATGAACATGTCTTGAGCATTAAAATAGCCACTGTACTACATTTCATGGCAATCCATCCAGCAGTTGGTGATCCAACTTATACTGAAATATATTGAGCCACACAGCTGGCAAGGATAAAACTCCTTTTCTTTATAGATTATATTTCAGCTATTATAAAGGGGAAGAAATCATCTTCAAGTATCAGTATCACACAGAGAGGAGCCTTTTGAAACTCAAACCTTTGCCACCTTTGTCCTTACCAGTAACAATGACTTTGTTCATGTAGATATACTCTTCGTCAGCACCTGCATGGAGACAGAAAGCACGCTTTACATTTGGGGTAGCTACAACAAACACTATCATCACATTATTTAAAGAACCAAGAGGAAATTTGATACTACTTGACAGGAAAATGTACCTCCAGTGTCAAACAAACTTTCATCATGTTAGTCAAAAGTCAATGATTAAAGGGGGAACTTGACCCAAACAAGTAGCCTATTGTGTGGACAGATGGGGCCATTATTGACACCCACTCTCACCGTGACTGGCATTCATCGGACATTAGTCAGAACACTTTGCACAGATAGAGCGCTGTGTCAATTTTCTATCTTTGAGGTTTTGAAGATAGCACAACTAAATATATGATGAAGTTCCTGAAGATGTTACATCTGCTGAGTCCAGTCCAAAAGAGTTTTGATGTAACCAAAACATAGGACAGTGTGCTTTGGTTTTACAATATATTTCCACTCAGTATTTGCATGAAACCTGTATTGACAAATAATAATGACAGCAGTATCTTTTGAAGCAATCTTTTTTTCAGTTTAATAGGCATATTATTAGGCAATATTAAAATATAATTTGGTGTCCTGTGACAAATACAAAAGCACAGTGAATCGGAAGTGCTTCATATGATGTGAGGAGTTAAACATTGCTGAACAAGTGATCAGAGCGGTCATTGAACTTGCCTTCTCTTTGCACTCAAATGTGTATGGGTTAGTGTGAGCATGAGATGATGAAACCTCATGTAATACATTGATGCTGAAGTCAGCGTAGTGAGAAAAGGACTGTATTCGGTTAAACGTTGGTCTTAGCATGGTGGAATAATTATAAGCTGGCGAAGACGTCGCCATAACATTGCCACATAAACAGTTTGAATGTCTTTTCTTAAACAATAAACTGTGTGGTTTCAGGGTAGCAGGCTCCAGCTGGTTGCAGTGACCTGTTCTGGGAATTTGTTCCGGAGCTTCAGCACAGTTTTAAGGGAGGTTGTTTCATTGAATTAAATATTTTAGCTGACTAAGTTTATACCCTGAGAGGAAATCAAACAAAACTCTAACCTTGTGTGATACTCTGGAGAAGCTTTCTCCTTTGAAATTGATATTGCGAGGTGAAACCAAACAACAGCAGATTGAAAGTATGTTTTGCCTGTACAGTGAAAACAGATTTTCGGGGAACAGAGTTGAAATGCTATTTATAAGCTGCTGCTTAAAGGAAGTGAGCGTCCTCAAGGGATAAATGTAGCTTCGGAAAAATGATACAGCTTGGAGCCAGGAGAGGAAGTACGGAGACGAGTCCAGGACCTGAACATGGAAAAGCAAGACTGCTGGTGTGTGTGTGTGTGTGTGTGTGTACGTGCGTGTGTGTATGTGTGTATTTGGAGCTGAGAAACACTGAGAAAGAGAAGCA